TTAAACTCTTTTTTTTTTTTTTGAGTGGAGTCTCACTCTGTTGCACAGACTGGAGTACAGTGGTTGCTCCCCGCCACCGCAGCCTTGACCTGCTGGGCTCCGGCGATCTGTCCACCTCAGCCTTCCAAGTAGCTGGAACTACAGGCGCGCGCTACCACGGCCAGCTAATTTTTGATTTATTGTAGAGATGAGGTCTCGCCAAGTTGCCCAGGCAGGTCTCAAACCCACGGGCTCAGGCAATCCACTCACCTCAGCCTCCCAAGGAGCGGGATTACAGGCTGAGCCACCAAGCCCAGCTGAGGTTAAACTCTTAACATTAAAAAAAAAAAAAGGAAAGATGAAAAAGAAAAGCTTAATCAAATATCCATTCCCCCAAAACCGTTTAATGTCAATTTGATCCATTTTCGTCAACTTTTTAAAAATCTACCTACCTTTAATTATATTATTTACATTAACCAACTCAAGAACTGTCTCCAAAACCCCATTTTTGGAGGCATCTAAAAGAATTCTTGCACCAACATGTAGAGACACATATAGCCCATTCCCAAGATACTTTATCAGGGGTGATTTGTTTAAATAGTTAAATTGGCATTTATATTTGGAACAATAGTGGTTTATTATAAAGAGAACATACTTGTTTTATCATGCCAGGTCTGGGTAACTTTATTCAAGATTTTGACAAAATGACCCTCAAAATCATATAAATGTAGACACTTTTAAAAAGTCATTTCAAGAAAATTTTGAATTCAGTCTGAAGTCACTATTAAGTCAAAAGTTGAACAAACTCTTACAAATCATAAATACTATTTTCCTTCTTAACTTCATTATATTTTCTGAGATAGATTATCAACTTAGTTTTCTTTGATATTGGTATTTGGAATCATTTTAACATGGTTTAACATCTTTAAGCTCTAAGTTTGTACTTATCTTGAATATCTCATTATAATTAAAAATATAAATTCAGAAACAACAACTCTTCTTTACACGAGAATTCCAATTAATAAATGTAGAAGGAATGAGAGAATCAGAAAATCACCATTAGAACACCACAATAGTAATTGCCACAAGCAAGATCTGCCAAAGGATAGCAAAATGACTGGGCAGAAGTTTAAGCAGAAACAGGACATTTGCATAGTCTCAAGGTATCTCCAGCAAATATTTAGTAATTACAGGGAAAACACAGTAAGTTTACAGTAGAGAATCCTAGCAGACACCACCTCAGCATAGTGATCAAGGTTAATAACACCAGAAATACATTACATCAGGTATCCCCTATTATGATACACTGGCACAGAGTGGAGAACACAATGGGGACATGACAACTAAACGCAAGGTAGAATCCTGGAACAGTAAAAGGATATTAGTTAAACGACTAATAAATTTCTACTTTTTAAACTCTCTACTTTAGTTAATAGTATTGTATCAAGATTAATTTCTTAATTTTGACAAATGTTCTATGTTAATGCAAGAGGAGAACATAAGGGGAAAGTGGGAGAACAGTATACGAGGACTATTAATTTTTACAACTCTTCTGTAAGTCTAAAATTATCTCAAAAATGTAAAAAATAACTATTAAAAACATACACATATGTATATATGTGCATTAATGTATGTACATATATATAAATCAAGACTTCATGGAAATTAGCATCTTGGCACTCAGTAAAATAGCAGTGTTCCTTTCTGAATTAGTCATTGTCTCACTGGTAACTTAGAGGTTCTCCCCCTTCTAGATTTTTAGTCTCAACTATAATTTTCTGATTTTCATAGAAAAGCCTTTTTTAAACACTCCTATATTAGGCCATAAATAAAAATCCTAGAATAAAATTATTATTATATTATCTTATAAAACCACTTATCCCAGCCATAAGACCCAGGCAATATTTTTACTACATTTCCTCTCGTCATCTAATATGTTTGTATTGGTTTGGTTTTGTTTATGAGGAGTAGAGATAGCCAATAGATTTAGTATCACTAATAGGACTGGCAGTTTAGGAAAAAAATTATCACTTAGATATCTCATGAAGAAAGAGCTGTTTTTCCAAGAACAGATACTGTATACAAGAACTCACCTCAGACACAAAAAGTAAGTTATTTACCTAGGGCTATTCTATATAAAAGCATACAGCTACCCAAGCAAGGCCAGCTAAGAACCTTTCAATATCCCTTCCTTAAATCTGGCTCTAAAATGACTGTTAATAATGGAAATAAACATATTTTTATGAAACAGGCAATTCTATTTTATATAATTTACTCTAGGGAAATAAAGATAAGCATCAAATCTACCTTTAAAAGAAGAAAATAATTAAGTTCCCACTCTAGCTATGGCTAATTCATTCCCTGAGCATGAATCCCCTTTTACCCTCATTGTTTTTAACTATAAACTAGCTGAAATTTGCTCACAGGTTGAAACTAATATTTCAGATGAAGAATGGTATTATCAAATATCATTTATTACTTTTTATAGTCTTTATTTCTACTCACTGTGGCATTTAATATTTCATCTGTATCACAATGCTCTCTATGGAAGCAGCAATAGTGAAAAGATAAGTATACTTTGTAAAAAAAAAAAAAAAAAAAAAAAACCAGGTAATTTTAAAGTGGATCTTTATCCAAATACAATAAGAAAGCAAAAAATAAAAATGTCCACAAACATTTTCATTCTATGTCAAAGACCTTTTTCAAATTTACCTTCTACTACCATGAAAAAAGTAGAAGTGGTAAAAACTCTAACCTAATGATCTATATAAAAAAGGAGACAAACAATTTACTCACTACACATTGCAATATATTCAAGTGGTGAAAAGATATAAATTCATTCAGAACTGCTATACTATCTGGGCATCAATATAGTCTCTTGAATAATTATATTAAACATATTACTACAAAATGTACCAAGAAGTAGAGAATACCATATTTGTGAACTGCAAATAACAAAACAAAACAGAGGTCTAAGAAGGCTAAAGTTCAAGCTGTAATTTACACATGAAGTGTATGTTGAAAGCAGTCACAATGTACAAAAATGTGACAAGTAATCCAGACGTTTAAAAAAACATATCCTGTTTGTCTCAGATTATATCCAGTCTCATCTGGTAGGTTTCTGATAAGCCTGTTACACACAGTACATTTCCCTCCTGCTGATAAGAAGCAGCTTGCAGATATCCATAAATTTCTTAAGGAATGAGTCTACTTGGCAATACTGATAACTCCATAGTTTCCTATTACATTCATTTGTCTGAAAACTGAAAACAACTCATAACTAAAATGTTCCTCCATTTCTTTGCCAGTTTTTCAAGTTTTAAATCAAAGGAAAGTTGGAATGTATTGCTTCTTGTCATCAACAGGCATTTCAAAAAGAGGGTAATTAACCAAAATCAATAGTTCTTTGGTCAAGTTAGTAACAGGCTTTCAGTATTCTAATTCTTTCATAATCCTTTTTTTTCTAATTTTTCCAGTATGGCCTGGATCTTACAAACAGCCTCTTTCCTGGCCTGCCGGACAGAGTCCTGGCCCCCAGTTTCAACTGAATCCAGTTCCAAAAGTTCCTTGGTTAGCATTTCTTCCAGAAGCCAGTATGCTTTGTCTGTCTTTTTGCCTACAAATTCTTCTACTTCTTGTTCAAGATATTGGACCTTCTCCAGCACATGTATGATTTTTTTAATACTTGGAGGAGTACTTTCATCTGAAGGTAGACACTCTTCAGGAAGATTATTACTTTGATCTTGATGGCTGGGATGTTCGTTGGTGGCATTACCATACAGCTGAGGTTCAGCACTATACTGGACTTGCGAATCCAAAATATCTGAACCATCATTGTTTACTGTCCCTGATGATTCATACTGATGGACACTGCAAGAAAAGTTGTGCCGGTTCATGCCTTGATCTGACTGGCTGTAGGGGTATGAGGAATCCTTGGAATGGGAGAGCAAAAAGGAGAGAAAAGCCATTTTAATAGGAATCCATCAACATCAGACTTGTTAATGCACATCTTTCACCTGACTAGGAAGGCACGTGTAGATTCCCCAAAAATAAAATGGGACCTCTCTCCTTAATCACCATTAGAACACCACAATAGTAACTGCCACAACCAAGATCTGCCAAAGGATAGCAAAATAACCGGGCAGACACTTAAGCAGAAACAGGACACTGGCATAGTCTCAAGGTATCTTCAGCAAATATTTAGTAATTACATGGAAAACATAGTAGGTCTATGGTAGAGAATCCTAGCAGACACTACCTCAGCATAGTGATCAAGGTTAACAACACCAGAAATACATTACATCCGGAATCCCCTATTAATGATAAACTGGCACAGACAGAAGACACAATGGGGACATGACAACTAAATGCAAGGTAGGATTCTGGAACATTAAAAGGATATTAGTTAAAAGACTAATACAATTTCTACTTTTTCAACTCTCTACTTTAGTTAACAGTATTGTATCAAGGTTAATTTCTTTTTCTTTTTTTCTTTTTAAGGAGAGAAAGTAGGAATTACTGAGAGAACAGAAAAGCTCCCAAAGTGGGAGGGAACTTGAGGAGGTTACCCAAGGTTAATTTCTTTCTTTTTTTTTTGTGAGTTAGAGTCTCACTCTGTTGCCCAGACTGGAGTGCAGTGGCCACTCCCGGCCACCGCAGCCTCAACCTGCTGGGCTCCAGCAATCCTTCCACCTCAGCCTTCCAGTAGCTGGAACTACAGGCACGCACTACCACACCTGGT